AGACTTTTTTCAAAAAGGCCTAAAACCATAGACAGTGGCTAACCTACTTTGATGCATTTTTAACTTACTGTTCACAATACAAACAAAAATGGATTCTTTGTGAATAATCAAAACCCTTTCTTGTTTGTACACATGAATAAATCAAACATGTGTATAATACTACGACGTATGTTTTTTTTAATTTAACCAAACATACATTACGTGTAAAACACCGAACTATTTCTTTGATGAAACAAAGGACACATGATTTTAATTTATTTTGGATGGTTCTAATACACGAACATCAAAGAACCTTAACACAAAACATGTTTCTAGGTTTTTAAAAATAGGTATTATACAAAAACGTTTGGTTATAAATAAGAATGAGTGGATACGAAAAACATGCACCTACACCTTGCATGTTGTAATGCCATGAATATTGTCGTCAACAATAGTTAAGTGCAAAGTTAAAGGCGGAGTAGGATTAACCTTGTTCCATAAGTTGTATGAGATCAGATTATCAAGTGTAAACTTTTTGGTTTGACTTTGAATTTGCTAAACAAACAGGAATTTAATTAACCGGAGCGTGCATTGCACGAGGTATGGTTGTAGCATATCTGGGAATGTTTGCATTGTTAGCAGTTGAAAACTACGTGTAATATTGAATGAATATGCTTATTGTTCGTGTGAATCTTTCGAGATACAATCGCAATGTTCGACATTCATCGATAAAGGAAATTTTGATAAAATCAAACTTTTTCTAAAATGTTTAGGAAAAAAAAATAAGTTTTTATCCCTCAAGTGGGACAAATGCAAGTATGAAACTCCAATTATGCATTTAAAATATAAATTACAGGAAATGTACTTGCAAACTTTTTTAATACTGTATCTTAACCCATTTCATTTTTATACCGGTAGAAGTGCAGTCACGTACAAGCAAATTAAATGATTCATTATTTGTGTTCATCTGCTTATAAATAACATCTAAAAAGCCATTCATTCAACCAGTAACCAAACTATAAATCATAACAAACGTCAAAAGAAAATTTATCATAATTCACAAAGTAACCTTGAACATTCGTTCATAACGTTAAAAAAGTAAATCAATTAACCTGGATAATGTTAGCTAGTAACCCTTTTTATTTTATTTCATAAACGCACAATAAATCCTGAGTACGCTACAAAGAAGTTTTAACATAGCACCAAAGAAAGACAGTAGGAATATTTGTTGTAAATCACCGAATGTTACGACAAAACTAACATCAAGGACAGTTTCGAGGATGTTTTAACGTTCTAACAATCTGTTACAGATAACGGAGGCGTAAACATTGGGTTTCTCTGTTCCAATTTTAAAAGTTTTGATGTAAAACAGATTGCTAAAATAAACTCATTTGTCCACAATTTATATCAAAAAAGAAATTAATGACTAATTAGGGTGTGTCTAATTTCCAAAAAGATTTCATAATAAATCGTGAGATGAATCTGTTAGACGGGAATGTTCCTGGGCTCTTGATAATTAGAAATTTGATGGTCAAGGAACTAAATTTGAATCACCAAGAGATTCGATTTATCGGGAGAAAAAGAAACCATCCGAACTAAAAAGAGTTCGTAATTTTATTATGCAAGTATCTTTTTGTAATGTTTATGATAGGTCAAGCAGCTGCAACTTTGACGAAGTTTTAACGGAAAATGTAATTTTCACGTTTGACAAATGAGGACCGTTTTTGTGGACCACACAATCGTCGAGGAAGAAGATAATTTAACAATTTTGACATTTCATATACTTATTTAAGGGTACTAGCAAATACTATTTTGTATGATAACCAAGAGAAAACACACATATTTGGGTCAATATGAGGCATGTGCCCAAAACTCAATGGAAATATCTAACCAACTAAAGATATAAATAATCAACATACGATGTGTAGAATCAACTAAAGATGTGCATAATCAAGCAATGACGTGTATAATCGGCAAACAATGTGCCAAATCAATAATACGTTTTCTTATCAAACAGATGATGTGTATAGTATACAGAGGTTGAATCTTGAAACAAGGTTGAGTTTTAAGCATAATCGGACAAATTTAAAAAAGATAATTGTCTTTTGGTAAATTGTGAATTAATTAAATCGCCCCGGAATAATAGTTGACACTTTAGTAATTAGAGTTCAATGATTAATATGAATTATTGTTCTTTTATTCATGTGTATTTATTAAAATAGTCAAACTTACCTGGCACTCAATAAATTAGCAAGCTCCTATTTTAGATTTAATAATTGTTAATCAAACAGTTCTGACACGCTCTATAGAAGCTAATTCAAGATATATAGATATGGAGATATGTGACTTGTATGTTATTGACATCTGTTGATGTTTTGTGTATGATCTGTCCATACAACCCAAAGAGAATGAACATGGTTTTGTAGATGTTATAGACGGGTTCCTATTAATTTATAACCTTTTTATTCAATTATAACAGTCCAAAACTAAATGAGGATATAATTATTCTTAAAGTGTCACTTACAATTTGGGATTTTTGAACAAATAAGAAACACGTAATTAATTATTTATTTATTTGTTTACTTAAAAAATCTTGTTTCGTGATATCCCTACAATAATATTCTCAATCAAATTGTTGTTAGGTGAATGTGTTGTAGGTATAGTGTCTTAATGTATTAATTGTACTAATTTTTTCAAGTTGCGTTGCAAGCCAGGTTAAGGCATAAAAAGTCATAAGTTTAAAATGACCCAAAAGTGTGAGCTTAGTTTTTACTAGATACTAACTGACAAGGTGAATGACCGCTGAACTAGATAATACTGAATGACCGTTTTGTATACAAAACATCATATTAAGCTTTTTTTGCTTAGTCTATCACAAAAACATTTTTAAAAGGGTGCTCAGCTTTAAAATTATAATATTGAATGGTTCATTTTTTTTAAAGGAGGGTGGTTAATAAAAAACATGTCATATTGCTATTTAATATGCGGGCATTCTTTAGTGCAATGGTTTAAGTAGTATAAGTTTTATTTTTAAGCACTCAATTTAGATCAAGTTTTATCATTAGGAAGAACAGGAGCATACGGATAAGATGTTTAAGCTTTTCGTTACACAGTAGCTTAATAGCCATGTGGAAATACAATCTTTAATTGCAACACTCTATAATTAAATTGGCCTGAACTGCGGATTAGTTAAAGTTCGAAACATTACAAATTTACTTCTTCTCTCTCAATCCATGAACTTCATTGGTGTAATGAGTAAAACTGTGCTGTTATGAAAGTAAACAATGCTGTTATGAGGAACTTTTCAATTCTAAGAACCTTACTAAAACGGCTATATATATAAAAAAAAAAAAAAAAACCGGTCGCAGTTAAAACTATATATTTTATCATTGGAAATGCACTTTCAGTCCGTGAACAACTGTGTTTTCATTATACTTTTACAACTGTTATTTCATCAGATACACGTAATGTTGCTTCGCCAACATAGTATCCAATTAAAAATTCAAGTTGTTTGAATTCTTCCATATTTTAATCAGTCTAAATGTTAACGAATAGGTATTTTATCATTGTAGGAACATGCAATGTAACACAACATAAACGCAGAGAAGTCTTTAACGACGCGGTGGTATATTTACTAATCACGATTTTTTTTTTATGGAAGCAGACGAGTTTTAAACTTATAGTTAATAAACAAATATACCTATCTTCCACTCAAGCTGCATACTTCGAAGGAGAAGAACTACTATATCCCCACCACACATTTAGGAGTTTTTCAGAATGGTGAAATGGGGTACGTGCTAGAAGGCATTTTCTATAATAAATTTCGCAAATGATAACAAAACACGACAAAATTCTGGTCATCAGTCGTAATATTAGCATTGTTGCAGTGGGCGAGTCTATTTCGCGCGAAGAAGGTTGCGTTGTTGTGGCGAGGGAGGGAGCTTCGTAAGTTTATTGCAAAATTGACCGGCGAATTTACCGTACTCCAGCTGACTTGATGTGTACCTTCATATTGTGAAAAGTAACTTTTCTGGACTAAAAATAGTACAGAAACCAGCTCTTTGTCGTGTAATGGGACGGGAAAATACAATAATAAGTTTACAGATGTGAATAAGTAATTCCCGCTGAAAGACTATGTGTCCAAAGAGACAAAGCACGTTTACTCAGTAGCGTTGGACTGAATGAACTTAGCAACCAAGACATATTTGAACTCCGTGCTCAAATGCACACAAAGTCAACACAATGAAACTTCTTCCAACTAATAGATGCATTAAACAAGATCTTAGAACTTCTACTTGGTCGTTTGCGAGATGCAATGGCTTTACTGTCGTAGTTTACAGTTATACTGTTATACTTATTCAATCCGTATTCTTGTATGAAGTGTGTTAATATGTACTTGGCTCTGTTATTATTTTTATTTGTAAAATGATTTGTATCACAGTAATGGGCTATTTTGTACTGATAGTAGACATGGCATTATAAAAAAGGGTCAAGTTTAAAAGATAGGTATAGAACACATTTTGTGCAGGTAATATGTAAGACACTTAAACTGAGATTATTGACATTAAAATTTGTTTGCAGTTTTCTAACGACACTACTACATCTTTTAGGTATAGAATGTAAAACTATTTAATAATTATTGGTCTAACTTTTGGGAGAGGACACTTTAAAAAAGTGCCTTTCTCTCACCTATCCTTTTTTTACCTGACAAATGGGTCAATAATTTAAATTAATTAAAGGTGATGATGCATCAAGGCTTTGTCATCTCCAAAACACTGGTGATTGGCGGGATTTGATCTCAGGTTTCAAGAATTAAAGCCTCCGCTCCCCAACAACCGGACCAGCTACAAAACAGATGGCAAACATAACTGCCCACCATACTTCACTTCCTAAGATCACTCCATATTCATGGTGCCCGTATGACCAAAATAATTATTTATTTAACTTGATGTTCATGCCTTAACGTTTAAGGTTTTAGACAAATGACAAGAAAAGGATAAGATCGTATCCATAGCAACAAGAAATGTAATCATCAAGATGGAACAATTTTTGGACTCTATTTTGTAAGTTATATTTCAACAAGTTATATTAACCAATTTTTCATTTTGATGAGTATCAAGTTCAAGTCGTTATCCAAACTACGATATATATTAGTGTTTTAAGATTCTTCATATTTTCCACCAATAATCTTCCTGGGAAACAGTACATGAAGTGCCGCCTACTAATCAATAGGTTGCCGGTACAATCTAGTCAATCCTGTTAGTTCCAAACTTTTGTCTTTATGCAGCTGTCCTTGATCATCGGGTGATTAATAAATGCTCCTGAATAGAGAACCAGATGAACTCAGTCAGTTAAAAAGCTTTCACCAAATTAATTTATCATTCATCATTCATTCATTTTCACCTTATATTGTGCACCTCACTGTGTCAACGTTGTATAAGTATCCTTTCTACGTTGGTTGGATGTTTACAGCGAAATTCTACCTCAAGTGTGCATCGCAGGAAGTGTCACGCTTCTAACCGGTGTCGGCATCTACTCCACCATCATGGGAACCAACCATCCATCACGACCACCCATCCCTCCACCACTTCCGGGACTCTTCATACCACAAGGACCCCTGCAGAACCACCCCGCTGGTGACGTAGTCATGCGTGAGTATCTAGGACGCTAAAATCTACTCTGGCAACATTACGTTAGGTTAGGTCTAGGGGGTCGCGGCAATATTACTTGGATAAAATCTATTGGTAATTGGTGAGATTCAAACTCGTGAACTCGGCAATCCAAGAACAGTGCTCTTACACTATACCAGCTCCTATTACTGGATTACTAGAGGAATGGGGAAACTCTTACTAAAGCAATTTAAAATTATGCAAGTTGTGAAAAGAAATTTACGTAAGTAATATTAACTGAATGCAAGTTAGTTTAATCTATGGTTCAATCTATGTCGGATTCAGTCCATGCGAAACTTGGATCAATAAATACAACTCATTCGAAACATTAGTTCTTCGAATTTTACGCTAAATAATTCAAATATTGGGTAGTAATTATGATATTTTAATTCAAAACTTTTAAAAATAATAGTATAAGATATCAGCGTTCTAATTTATTTACCAATGTTATGTTTCAGAACACTAGACAAGCCAAATACGATTAAAAATTTTAAAACAATGACAGTAGAAGAATAGTATCAAGATTACTCTTATAGGCCTAATGCATTATTTATTGAATACCAAAATATTAGGCAAGCCCCACTAGTCCAACAAGACCTCATGGTACTTTAAACACTACAAAAACAGGTATTTAATAAATGTATTAAATGGTTCTGTCAAAATCTTATTTCTTAACTTCTAAGTTAACGTTTTTTTTCGTGTAGTTTTTTGTACTTTCGGGTCGCCGGATTTCTACCCCCGGATATTTACCCCCATGAAAAAACGCCTACGTCACTTTGACGTCACATGTATGGGGGTAGATTTCCGGCCGCGAACTTTTAGGATGGATAAATTATTGTATATTCAATCAACTCGCATTTCACGGTTTACTTAACAGTTGTAATTAATCAAAATGCTAATAAACCTGACACCGGAACTTTACCCCCGGAAATCTACCCCCAGACATCCACCCCCGGACATCTACCCCCGGACATTTACCCCCAGACATCTACCCCCGGAAATCTACCCCCAGACATCCACCCCCGGACATCTACCCCCGGACATTTACCCCTAGACATTTACCCCCGGATATCTACCCCCGGAAATCTACCCCCAGAAATGTACCCCCAGTGGTCAAATCATAAATGTCCGACCCTAGAATTATTTATTTCCGACCCCCGGAAATCTACCCCCCGTGCTACACTACGTATCGGTCAATATTCATTGTTGTAGTTGATTTTAGTAATTGGTTTATTAAAATAATCAATGGCCCTTCGTTTAATAATTACCCTCTAATATTGTTCGGTATTCATATTTTTAGAGTATTTAGAAATTAATCAAATTGCAGATTCGCCATTTTTCTCTAATTTAATTATTTTTCTCTTGAACTATTAATTAGTTCTGGTCCTTCGAGTTATTAATTATTTTCATTTCACCCATTACGCCCTCAACAAATATCTAGTATTAAGCATGTGATATGTCGTTGTCTTGATTAATGTCATCTATCTTCCCAATTCATTAAGCTGTTACTGATTTATGTTACTAATATGTAACTAGTGTACATGTTGCTCGAACTCGAGCAATTGCAAAGTATTAAGGGAGTTATTTCAAAATGAATAACAATGAATATTTACAATGAGTTTAAATGAGTCAACTCAAAGATTCTCGGTGTGTAACTAAAACCATGTTTATCTTCGTTATTGATGAACCTAAAGCATTCCGGCCGGTTTTCTCCTTCTCAAAATGCCTCGCTGTACAGGCAACACAGGTTATTGATAGAGGGCCAATTGAGAACGAACAGTCGTTTTGGGGTAGTGTTCCATCTCTTGTTTACAGTTGCAGACGATCTATTCTGGTTTTCAACCTGACTTAAAAATGGAACTGATTAGTAATGTGCTCACATTTCACCTTTATAACTGTTACTGTATAGTGTGAAAGTTGGTCAACCTTTTGAAGCCCTAATCTAAATATCCTTTTTAATTACCATTTTGCTCTGCGCAAGATCTTAAGCTTTAAAATGACACCTCAATCGTAACAATCGGCGAAGTGGTCGGGTGAAAAAAGGACTGTTACAGCTTATTGAATTAGGAAGATAGATAATGTTAAACAAGACAATGACATATCGCATGCTTAATACTGGATATTACAAGACAATGCTTAACCGAAGATCCGTTGATTTCCGGGGGTAGATGTCCGGGTTTAGATGTCCGGGGGTAGATGTCTGGGGGTAGATGTCCGGGGGTAGATATCTGGGGGTAGATGTCCGGGGGTAGATGTCCGGGGGTAGATGTCTGGGGGTAGATGTCCGGGGGTGGATATCTGGGGGTAGATGTCCGGGGGTAGATTTCCGGGGGTAGATATCCGGGGGTAGATGTCCGGGGGTAGATTCCCGTGCTATGGCAAATCACTTTATAATCAAACAATTACATATTGATTATTTAATAATATATTGGGGGTAAATTTCCATTCGCGGGCTGTTTCTCGACCGTGTATAAGCCCCGCCCCTCGTGACGTCAAAATGACGTAGGTGTTTTTTCATGGGGGTAAATATCCGGGGGTAGAAATCCGCTACCCCGTACTTTCTCTAAAAGGTATAAAAATAAAAATATTTAATAAACATGAACAATACAACTAACAATTATTCTTATAATCATAATACCATTGCCTTTTTAATAAAGAAAATACTATGTAAGTAGAAAACTTGTAATTGTGTTAAGTGTGCCTTTTATTTGTAATTTTTTTCATGTTCGTGTAATTAATTATGTAAACCGACGGCCTTCTCTTGAAAATGAGGTAATAATGTCCGAAAATAGTCCGTAAATAGATTAAATTTAAGATCATCATTTAATTAAGTACAACTTATATTATTACTTATCTTACTAGTTCGTTTGACCATTTGCGCTAGTGTGTCGAGCTGTGCATATATATTGTGGTGATATACAAGTGTTGTGTCTTAGCGTGATCGCTACACAACGTAGGTCTGACACCTTCTCCCACAGGACTGCGGCAATACGTTGCGTTAACTCGGAAACAGTGTTTCACTTATTTAGATAGTGGATTAAGTTCTATCCTATTTTATGCCTACCTACTGTACGTTTTATGTTGTTTTATTGATTATATTCCATAGTTTACTTATATAGTTTATTATATTCTACTTAGAATGGAAACACTCTTCTGTTTTGTTCTTGAGAAATAATAAAACACACAAGGTTTGATCCAAGACGTACGAAATACCCTGTGTTTTACCAATGGCATTTATTAAAACTCAAAGTAAGAAATCTAGGTACAGGATTTCTCTAATCTCCTTGATGCCAAGTGCCAAAATATTCTGTATCCTCAAATCCTGTAGAAAATTAAAATTGCTAATCCGATAAAAAGCAAACGAGTACATTTTAAACGCGAAACATGTTGATCTCGCATTATAAAATTAGTAGATTTTCATGCTTTTGATGTTAGTGTAGTTTAGATCTTTTAACAATTACTATTGAATTCATAATTCAAGTATGTAGAGTGACTTTCAAAGGTAAAGGTATTTTTCTAAAGTAGAAAGTCATAAATTAACTCATCAAACAGACTCAAGGTTACATCTGAAACATTTTTTTCATTTTTATTGATGAATAAAAGCGAAAACAACTGAAACAGTTATACACAGGAAAGGGTGCGGAAGAGAACGCATTAGCAGGACTGTAGGAATGCCAAAACCCAATTCTGCTCGGTAATACCCCTTATGATGAACGACCCTGGGATCCTCGCTTATTGTTTTTCACTAAGAAGCCATTTCTTTTTGTACCCTTTTAGTAAAACAATCTTAAAAATGTATTCCTTGTTGCCCTTACGTTATTCCCCTAACGCATGACAACTACAGAACCAGAAATGTTCACAAACGTTTTTTAAGCTTAAACACCACGAATGTTGTTTTAATAAGGTAAATGGGTTAACACAATCTATTCATCTAACTAAGGTTGAAATAATATTTTCGTCATGCTGCAGCAAAAACAGCCGTTTATAATGCATGCGTTGCGAGTCTAAAGTAGTATTTTTAGTCTCAAGGGAGTACAAATCAGCTGTTTTAAATAGTTGTAAGTTTCGATTGTGGCAATCGTATTGATCGAAATTATTTATCGATTGATTTATTAGGTAAGCTGTTAGCCTATTGTTGTTGATCGAACAATGTATCGATGGTATAATGTACTGTAACACGATCTTAATAGACGAAGTGATAGAATCACTTACTAAAAGCTGGAAGTCGTTTTGTTTACATAAAAATTATATGGTTTTCTAGCTTAGTTTGTTAATTAATGATGCAATATGACGAAAAATATAGTTCACCACACGGGCAAAAAGTGTCTTTTTAACCCACGCTCCTCATTTTCCGCTCGGGTTAAAAAAGGCACTTTATGCCCTTGTGATGAAATATATACTATTTCAGCCAAAAGGGAGTAAAAATCAGCTGCCAAATGCAATATTACCCTATATATATATATTATATATAATATATACCCTTAGAATAAAATACCACCATCATTCTAATCATTACTTAAGATGGTTGCATAATCAGTTGTAAATTTCAATTGTAAAACATTTTACGCTGAAAAAACGATTTTGCAGTTAAAATAATACACATTAATAAACATAAAACATCATTCGTTTCCTTGGGATATTAATACCTGTAAAAGCTCTTTTAGTACCGAAGGGAAATTATGTAAAAGGTTGATGAAATAAATTGTCAATAAACACCAGTTTAGTATTATAATGGATTATCAGTTCCATATCATTATCCTGACTGATGGATCTACCTTTCTGCAATAACTTTCACAATGGCGTCTTTATGATTGATTACTCATATTTGTGACAGAGCCGAATTTATTTCGAGAAGTAGGCTACTTGTGGCCTTGCCTCTGGTACATCTATCGATGGAAATTCAGTCAAAGCCTGACAAATTAGCTTCAATTAATATGTTTATAATTACAACAGCCACTTTTTAATCGTGGTCTAATTTAGTTTATCATTCACACTTGGGAAGAATCGCTGATGATTTAATATTTTGGTACGTAGTAGTTGTAACAACTTATAATGCATTAAAAAAACAAATGTACTGGTAGTATTTCAATTCAGTTTATATGATTAATTTGTAATTTTTACTTTCTCTCCTTAAGCAAGATAATAGGAAGAAAGTACCCACTTCATCCAAATGTCTGTTATGAGTTTTCTAGTGTAAATGTCCGTTTTGGGTTCCCATAAACTAAAGACTGTGGGCTTAGAAATTAATTATCTGTAAAATGTGGATGTGAACGACATGATGAAATTTGCTATGTCGCTACTAATCAATGGTATTTCCAGGAATTTTCACTTATTTTTACTTTGTTTTTTAATGGGAATTTCCCATAAAATCCCATACAAACCTGATATTTACATAAAAAACATGTTATTGTTTATTTTGACCCAAGGAATCACTACGAAAATTATGTCCCCACCTGTATGAACACGCTGTAGAATAAATCCAGTTAGACTTCTACAGACGGCTTCATATTTTAAATTAGTATCATTCCAT